CAGAAAGCCAAAGCCCCACCGTGCGGGGCTGAAGCTGAAGCCTGAGCAGCTTAGCATCACAGGGCCCCCTGTGGCATGGAGCCCCGAGCAATTGCTCTGCTTGCTACCCCTAATGCTGGCCATGGATTTTTTTATAGCCTGTTGGCGGGGCATGGCTCAGAAAGAAAAAGGTTGAGAACCCCTGGTATAGAGCATAATTTTCCCAAAGAAAATCAATCTAATGTTGATGGCATGACAATTGACACTGAGTGTATGGGAAAGATTTGCAGTTCGGGGTGGTTTAGAAAAGAGACAACTTGCAAACCCTTAGATAGGTTTGAGATAATGTAAGAAAATATGAAGCTGATATCTCAGAGCTACTAAAACTGAATAAAGAGGCTTTCAGAATGTTTAAAGTCCTCTTGTGTGTGTGTTTTTCGTTTCCTGGCTTAAAAGTTTTGTAAATTTCTCTGATAATGCACTGTTGCTGTTTCCACAGTAATTCAAAATGTCACACGTCGGATGCTGCCTAAAACCACGGACAGGCCTTCCCTGGCAGGAGCAATACTAGGTGACTAAGACATTCCTTACTTCTCTGGCCAATAGATAAAGATCTGTGTAAATCCTTTTTACATTTCCTGTCCTTTCTAGTTCTTACTTTCTTGAGGCTCGTTCTTATTTTTTTTTTATTATATCTTAACAATAATTGCGGTAAAGGGAAGGATGCACCTGAAGTATAAAATTGACTATGCCGTGGTCAGAATATTTTAAAGGACTTATTGCCACTGTTTTATCAAAAACAGTTCTTTCATATTGCAGGAGATGGGAGAGAAGTGATTTTGCAGAGAGAATCTTGAGGTGTTAAGTGAACATATGTTCGGCTCCCTCCAGGTGTGCATTAGGTCACAGGTTTCCAACCACTGGCACATATACCTGTACTGATACTTCAGGCTTTTGTGAATGGTATACTAAGTTTCCCCACTCCACTGTATTACTGAGACCTGTACTAAGCCCCAGTGCATCACAGCTTCCTTCATTCCCGTCAGTTGTCTGGCCTGATGTAGAGCTTGGGTAATTGTGTATCAGGTTAGAGCACACAGGTAGCAGGCACTAGATGGTACCAACTTACTATAATAAATGGGTACTCTTGTCTGAAAAGATTGGGAACCACTCTGCTTAAAATATCTGGAGACAAATTTATCCCCAGTGTAATACTACTAATGCTTAGTTCTCAGTGGCTCAGAGGGTATTGCATGGACATCTCTGAAGGCAGATTACAGCTCACCATGTTTTGAATGAATGGCTCACTTATCTTTATGTGTAGTGCACCTTATCATTCCAGGTCTCAATGAAACACCACAACAGAAACTCCCTAAACCTGAGACACTGGGCATATCTGAAACACCAAAGAAAAAACTGGGTAAGTACACATCTCCTGTATTAAGTTAATGAAGTTGGTGAGCATCATCAGAAGAAATGTATTTTGGTGTGAGAATGTACATTCAAGCTAAGCCTCCTTTTTTATTTTGTTCGGAGCATTTGTTCAGTCAAGTGGGTAAGTAGGTGTCCAATCTTGCAAGGTTCTGAACACCAAATACTAAGAAAAGACATTTTAAAAACAATGCAGGTTTCAGAGAACTAGTCATGTGTTATTGGGTGTGTGGTGAAGGCAAGTTCAGCAGTTCCCTAAGGTATTTGATTTCACGTGTTTGTTCATTTTGGATTGCTTGGGCAAACTACAGCAGGAATAGAGATAAATGTAAACAGAGGCAGCGCAGATGTATCTCTGGTATTTACAGTCTAACTTCTGCCTTTTTAGTTACAAATGAAACCCAAACATGGCCTGAGGAATCCAAAACACCAGAAGTGCAAGAAATCTCCCCACGGTCCTTCCCAGGTAATTATAGATCTGTTTTAGGTTTTTATAAATGATGTGTTACACCTTTTCCTCACTGCCAGTTTCGGTGGATTGGGGTTTTTTTTGTCTTCCCCACAGTGGGGACCTGGTGGATTGGTGAGGAGATACAGTTCAGTGTTGCAGTTTAACAGGTGGCAGGTATCCAGTACATATACTTGTTCCAGAGGGGGTCCAGTTCACCGATAAACCAGAATTGGAAGTGGATTTAGGGGAAAGCTTCCCCTAAAAACTGGGAGTGGATTGGGGCTCCTAATGTCTGGTACAGTGAGGAGAGAATCTGCTTTCCCTAGGTTCCCCAGCTCCCTAACTCTCATATGAAGGGAGGGTTCTGGGGTCCCAGTAAAGGGCTGGGGACCAGCTATGAGGTAGAGAAAGGTTACTGGCTATCCTCCACCAGTTGGAAATGATTAAGGAAGGAATCCTGACCTGCACTGTATGGGTTATTGCCAGATAGTTCCCAGATGAGAAGTTAATAAAGTTGCAGCTTAATTAAATCATGTCTTTCTTCCTACATGTCTGAGACAGTATATATGAACTCATTAGCAGTTTTAGGATTTGTGCTGCTCAAGGGTGACACTAGTTGAGAGCATGTCAGAGCTGATATTTCCAAAGGGGGTACTGTGCACTACATTAATGCTCTCACCTAGTATCGGAGAACACTTCAATCTCTCTGGTCACTCGATTACAGACCTAAAAGTCGCAATATTTCAACAAAAAAATGTCAAAAACAGACTCCAACGAGAGACTGCTGAATTGGAATTAATTTGAAAACTGGATACAATTAACTTTGGCTTGAATAGAGACTGGAAGTGGATGGGTCATTACACAAAGTAAAACTATTTCCCCATGTTTATTTCCCTCCCTCCCCCCACTGTTCCTCAGACGTTCTTGTTAACTGCGGGAAATGGCCCACCGTGATTATCACTACAAAAGGTTTTCTCCCCCCCCCCACCACTCTCCTGCTGGTAATAGCTCATCTTAAGTGATCACTCTCCTTACAGTGTGTATGATAACACCCATTTTTTCATGTTCTGTATGTATATAAATCTCCTCGCTGTATCTTCCACTGAATGCATCCGATGATGTGAGCTGTAGCTCACGAAAACGTATGCTCAAATAAATTGGTTAGTCTCTAAGGTACCACAAGTATTCCTTTTCTTTTTGCGAATACAGACTAACACGGCTGCTACTCTGAAATTTAGCATTTGTATGTACACTCCCACAGGATAGAGCTTTGGCAGGATTGTGTCTCTAGTGTTAAATAATGGGGAATATAATTTTATTTTATTGTGTATGGATTTGACTCTAAGAATCCCACAGCATTACAATAAAATTGTACCTCTTTGACGTTTTCTGGTCTATTTTTATAACTGAAGAGGGGCCTGATTATTCTCCCATTAAAGTCAGTTGCAAAACTCCCATTGACTTCATTAGTGTGGACCTGAGCTACAAAAGAGGTAAGACAGAAGCATTGAAATGAATGAGAAGTTTAGAAAAGTAATTGTTTGAAGAAGATTTTGCTTAGATTTAATGTAGTTAGTGTATAGTCTTGTTGTCACTATTCCACTTTGTTCATAATATATGTCATTATTGACCAAGCAGAATATATGGCCAAATCCTGCTTGTCTTGCTGATTGACTTCAAATGAATGGAAGTACTTGCATGAGTAAGAGGCACAGAATTCGGCCCTTAAATCTCATTGTGCTTGTTGTATACAAGAGTACATCAAAGAGGCACCATTTTACAACTGATCAGACTAGGTCAATTTTCATTATTTTTTAAAGACCTCTAACTTTATTCTCATGAAGACATAGTTTCTATTCTCCACTTAAAATTTCTGATCCAGTAAATGACTTGAGAGTAGAACAGACTCATTTATTGAAGTTAAAAATTAAATTTATTTTGTGGGACTTTTAACAAATAATTTCTATAACAGTATGTTGAATATTATGGACAATAAATTCCTTGGACTAGCTACAACTCAAGTCAGTCCAGTATGGAGATTCAAAATTGAGTGGTTCACCAGACTTTTGTACTCCTGGAGAGTATGTAGGGAACAAAAGAAATTTAGGTTGTAGTAATGCAGAAAAAATGTGTAAGGATTGCCAACTGTCTTCTGGATGAAACTATTACCTTTTAGTCTCTAAAAGTGTTTGCAGATTTCTTATTCTACAACCTCCAGGTAAGTCTATTGCCAAATTCCAGTGTGTACTGAGACAAAGAAGTCTGCTTTTCAGTTGTTCTTTATATTCATCCTAAAATGCTGGAAGAAAAAGTGGGACACTTCTGCACATAGGCATTAACCAGAGCCATTCAGGGTACGGATACGGAACACTTGATTTTAACTAGAGTTGGATGCACAAAAAATATTCAGTGACTGTTCTTTTTAAAATAATTAGTTTTTACTGTTTCATCCCTTTTTGTACTCACTTTTCACAGATATTTTAGTAAATGAGTTCAATAGCCAGAGTTATTGCAGAAATAACTATAAATGCATATTGCAAATATTTAGAGAAAATTTATTTTCTCAGATCTATATGTATTTATTGGATCTGGAGACTTGGTCCTAAGATTTATATGCATCCAATCAGGGAATGGGTTGGGGGGGGAAGTGGCCTTGTGTGTCCTCTCAAGACATCTCAGACGTAGGGAACTGAAAACTGACTACAGTTTTGTGAACAAGCTAGTCTCAGAATTATTCATAGAAATTATTTGTTAAATAATTTTGAATAATAAATGCATTCAGGAATAATTGAGCTGTATGAAAAATGACCCATGAACAGAAAAGAAGTGACAGATTCTCAAATTATTTGTCACAAAATACTTGCCCATTTCTATTTTTAACCAAGTGACAGCAGATATTTTTTTAACCTCATTTAGTGTTGTTGTCATTCTTAATACTGGAATACTTCAGCAGTCATTTAACTTTGAAATAATCAGTTCAACAGGTAATTTTTAAACAGTTAAGCTTTCCATGGTGTATATTTTGTGCTGACAATTTTGAGCATCATAGGATAAAATCCTTATCGACGTCTTTTTATGTGCTTATTAGATGCACATCTCACTATCTAAGCCCTGGTCTACACTAGGACTTTAGGTCGAATTTAGCAGCGTTAAATCGATGTAAACCTGCACCCGTCCACACAATGAAGCCCTTTATTTCGACTTAAAGGGCTCTTAAAATCGATTTCCTTACTCCACCCCTGACAAGTGGATTAGCGCTTAAATCGACGTTGCCGGCTCGAATTTGGGGTACTGTGGACACAATTCGATGGTATTGGCCTCCGGGAGCTATCCCAGAGTGCTCCATTATGACCGCTCTGGACAGCACTCTCAACTCAGATGCACTGGCCAGGTAGACAGGAAAAGAACCGTGAACTTTTGAATCTCATTTCCTGTTTGGCCAGCGTGGCAAGCTGCAGGTGACCATGCAGAGCTCATCAGCACAGGTGACCATGATGGAGTCCCAGAATCGCAAAAGAGCTCCAGCATGGACCGAACGGGAGGTACGGGATCTAATCGCTGTTTGGGGAGAGGAATCCGTGCTATCAGAACTCCGTTCCAGTTTTCGAAATGCCAAAACCTTTGTGAAAATCTCCCAGGGCATGAAGGACAGAGGCCATAACAGGGACCCGAAGCAGTGCCGCGTGAAACTGAAGGAGCTGAGGCAAGCCTACCAGAAAACCAGAGAGGCGAACAGCCGCTCTGGGTCAGAGCCCCAAACATGCCGCTTCTATGATGAGCTGCATGCCATTTTAGGGGGTTCAGCCACCACTACCCCAGCCGTGTTGTTTGACTCCTTCAATGGAGATGGAGGCAATACGGAAGCAGGTTTTGGGGACGAAGAAGATGATGAGGAGGAGGAGGTTGTAGATAGCTCACAGCAAGCAAGCGGAGAAACCGGTTTTCCCGACAGCCAGGAACTGTTTCTCACCCTAGACCTGGAGCCAGTACCCCCCGAACCCACCCAAGTCTGCCTCCTGGACCCAGCAGGCGGAGAAGGGACCTCTGGTGAGTGTACCTTTTAAAATACTATACATGGTTTAAAAGCAAGCATGTGAAAGGATTACTTTGCCCTGGCATTTGCGGTTCTCCTAGATGTAGTCCTAAAGCCTTTGCAAAAGGTTTCTGGGGAGGGCAGCCTTATTGTGTCCTTCATGGTAGGACACTTTACCACTCCAGGCCAGTAACACGTACTCGGGAAACATTGTAGAACACAGCATTGCAGTGTATGTTTGCTGGCATTCAAACAACATCCGTTCTTTATCTCTCTCTGTTATCCTCAGGAGAGTGAGATATAATTCATGGTCACCTGGTTGAAATAGAGTGCTTTTCTTCAGGGGACACTCAGAGGAGCCCATTCCTGCTGGGCTGTTTGCCTGTGGCTAAACAGAAATGTTCCCCGCTGTTAGCCACAGGGAGGGGGGAAGGTTGAGGGGGTAGTCACGCGGTGGGAGGAGGCAAAATGCGACCTTGTAACGAAAGCACATGTGCTATGTATGTAATGTTAACAGCAAGGTTTACCCTGAAAGAGTGTAGCCAATGTTTTATAAAATGTGTCTTTTTAAATACCGCTGTCCCTTTTTTTTTCTTCACCAGCTGCATGTGTTTCAATGATCACAGGATCTTCTCCTTCCCAGAGGCTAGTGAAGCTTAGAAAGAAAAAAAAACGCACTCGCGATGAAATGTTCTCCGAGCTCATGCTGTCCTCCCACACTGACAGAGCACAGACGAATGCGTGGAGGCAAATAATGTCAGAGTGCAGGAAAGCACAAAATGACCGGGAGGAGAGGTGGCGGGCTGAAGAGAGTAGGTGGCGGGCTGAAGAGAGTAAGTGGCGGGCTGAAGACAGGGCTGAAGCTCAAATGTGGCAACAGCGTGATGAGAGGAGGCAGGATTCAATGCTGAGGCTGCTGCAGGACCAAACCAGTATGCTCCAGTGTATGGTTGAGCTGCAGCAAAGGCAGCTGGAGCACAGACTGCCACTGCTGCCCCTCTGTAACCAACCGCCCTCCTCCCCAAGTTCCATAGCCTCCACACCCAGACGCCCAAGAACACGGTGGGGGGGCCTCCGGCCAACCAGCCACTCCACCACAGAGGAGTGCCCAAAAAAAAAGAAAGCTGTCATTCAATAAATTTTAAAGTTGTAAACTTTTAAAGTGCTGTGCTTAAAGTGCTGTGTGGCATTTTCCTTCCCTCCTCCACCACCCCTCCTGGGCTACCTTGGTAGTCATCCCCCTGTTTGTGTGATGAATGAATAAAGAATGCATGAATGTGAAGCAACAATGACTTTATTGCCTCTGCAAGCGGTGATTGAAGGGAGGAGGGGAGGATGGTTAGCTTACAGGGAAGTAGAGTGAACCAAGGGGCGGGGGGTTTCATCAAGGAGAAACAAAGAGAACTTTCACACCGTAGCCTGGCCAGTCATGAAACTGGTTTTCAAAGCTTCTCTGATGCATACCGCGCCCTCCTGTGCTCTTCTAACCGCCCTGGTGTCTGGCTGCGCGTAACCAGCAGCCAGGCGATTTGCCTCAACCTCCCACCCCGCCATAAACGTCTCCCCCTTACTCTCACAGATATTGTGGAGCACACAGCAAGCAGTAATAACAGTGGGAATATTGGTTTCGCTGAGGTCTAAGCAAGTCAGTAAACTGCGCCAGCGCGCCTTTAAACGTCCAAATGCACATTCTACCACCATTCTGCACTTGCTCAGCCTGTAGTTGAACAGCTCCTGACTACTGTCCAGGCTGCCTGTGTACGGCTTCATGAGCCATGGCATTAAGGGGTAGGCTGGGTCCCCAAGGATACATATAGGCATTTCAACATCCCCAACAGTTATTTTCTGGTCTGGGAATAAAGTCCCTTCCTGCAGCTTTTGAAACAGACCAGAGTTCCTGAAGATGCGAGCATCATGCACCTTTCCCGGCCATCCCACGCTGATGTTGGTGAAACGTCCCTCGTGATCCACCAGAGCTTGCAGCACTATCGAAAAGTACCCCTTGCGGTTTATGTACTCGGCGGCTTGGTGCTCCGGTGCCAAGATAGGGATGTGGGTTCCGTCTATAGCCCCACCACAGTTAGGGAATCCCATTGCAGCAAAGCCATCCACTATGACCTGCACATTTCCCAGGGTCACTACCCTTGATATCAGCAGATCTTTGATTGCGTGGGCTACTTGCATCACAGCAGCCCCCACAGTAGATTTGCCCACTCCAAATTGATTCCCAACTGACCGGTAGCTGTCTGGCGTTGCAAGCTTCCACAGGGCTATCGCCACTCGCTTCTCAACTGTGAGGGCTGCTCTCATCTTGGTATTCATGCGCCTCAGGGCAGGGGAAAGCAAGTCACAAAGTTCCATGAAAGTGCCCTTACGCATGCGAAAGTTTCGCAGCCACTGGGAATCATCCCAGACCTGCAACACTATGTGGTCCCACCAGTCTGTGCTTGTTTCCCGAGCCCAGAATCGGCGTTCCACAGCATGAACCTGCCCCATTAGCACCATGATGCATGCATTGGCAGGGCCCATGCTTTCAGAGAAATCTGTGTCCATGTCCTGATCACTCACGTGACCGCGCTGACGTCGCCTCCTCGCCCGGTATCGCTTTGCCAGGTTCTGGTGCTGCATATACTGCTGGAGAATGCGTGTGGTGTTTAATGTGCTCCTAATTGCCAAAGTGAGCTGAGCGGCCTCCATGCTTGCCTTGGTATGGCGTCCGCACAGAAAAAAGGCGCGGAACGATTGTCTGCCGTTGCTCTGACGGAGGGAGGGGCGACTGACGACACAGCTTACAGGGTTGGCTTCAGGGAGCTAAAATCAACAAAGGGGGTGCCTGTACATCAAGGAGTATTTCAGGCAGGACTGCACGGAGAGTTCCAATAAGAAATGGTGCACCTAAGTTATCGTTCTTATTGGAACAAGGAGGTTAGCCTGGCCTCTGATTGATACATGGCTAGATTTACCTTGCTGCACCTTCTCTGTGAGTGACTGCAGTGTGATCTAGAGGAATGAGTCCCCTAGACAGGGGAGGAGGCAAATGAGTACAAAACAAATCTGGTCTATTTCTTGTTCTGAGCCACTCCATCTATCTTTTACATCTTTGGCTGGCAGCAGACAGTGCAGAAGGACTGCAAGCCATCCTCATCTCTTGCCTGCCTGGCAGAAGATGGTACAATACGACTGCTAGCAATCCGTATCGCCTGCTCACTCACCATAAGACGGTTCAATAGGACTGACTGCAGGACTAAAGAGAATGACCTGGTCAAGTCACTCCAAATTTAGTCCCTGCGCCCATGTCTGCCCAGGCGCTCCCAGCCGACGTGGCCAGGAGCACCTCGGACATGACGATGACGGCTACCAGTCGTACTGTACCGTCTGCTGCCACAAGGCAAGGGGTTGCTGCTACTGTGTAGCAATGCCGTACCGCGTCTGCCAGCACCCAGGAGACATAGGGTGACGGTTACCTGAGCGGGCTCCATGCTTGCAGTGGTATGGCGTCTACACAGGTAACTCAGGAAAAAAGGCGCGAAATGATTGTCTGCCCTTGCTTTCACGGAGGGAGGGAGGGAACGGGGGCCTGACGATATGTACCCAGAACCACCCGCGACAATGTTTTAGCCCCATCAGGCATTGGGATCTCAACCCAGAATTCCAATGGGCAGCGGAGACTGCGGGAACTGTGGGATAGCTACCCACAGTGCAATGCTCCGGAAGTCAACTCTAGCCTCGGTACTGTGGAAGCGGTCCGCCGAGTTAATGCACTTAATGCACTTAGAGCATTTTCTGTGGGGACACACACACTCGAATATATAAAACCGATTTCTAAAAAAACGACTTCTATAAATTCGACCTTATTCCGTAGTGTAGACATACTCTAACAGGCTGAATGACAGACCACTTCCATTTGTGTCCTTTAAAAATCATGAGATCTACAACAACTTCCTATCACATGAAGAGCCCTTTTTACAATGATGTCATACCTCCAGTTTTATAATTCAGTGGTGGGGGAGGGGTTCCAAAAATATCACAGTTTTGTAGATACTCAGTTTTTGAGTCAGAGTATGCAAAGTCATGCATCTTATGTGCAGCTCCTGAGGTTTCAGATGATATGTATCTTTGCTAACTGTTATATCATGGTAAATATATTGCACTATTTCTTATTCAACCTTTCCTAGTGACTCAAAGAATAGCTCACTCGCTTGCTCTCTCAAACAACCTCAGCTGCATTCACTTAAATTCCTTTGTCTTTTAAATCAAATCCTATGCATGGCTTTCATGCATGTTGTCTTGCATAAGCAGATAGGCATGCAGCTCATATATATGCCAGTCCTTCATTTCCTCTGTTCATTTTTTCCTTTTTACATCCAGCAGTTGTGTATACTTATGTACAGTAATGCCACTCAAAAAAAAAATCATCATCTGTTAACTGATAATTCTGTGGTATTTGTTATTTCCTAATTTAAGAATAAAGGGATAATGTAGTATTTCAAATACAATTATATATTAACTGTTGGCAAATGCTGACTGTATGTTTGACTGTATGTTCATTTGCTCCAAATAAAGACATTGTTAAACTTTTCTATTATTATCATTAGGTTCTCTACATTTATTTACTAAAATATTTTATGTATTTTCATGTTTTCATAGCTCACCTTGAGAGCTGCTTCCATATTTTTTCTTTATGCAGTGATCATTCCTTTCAGATATTTTTCGAGTTCAGAACACTAGCATCACAAAGGGTCAAGTAGTTCGACCTTCTGTTTGTGTCATTGTTTCTGTTCAACAATGTACACTTCTCTATGTTGCCAGCATTATAGTTTAAAAAAAACAACTTTGAAGTGATATGCCAATGTTCCTTGTGTGGCATTTCTGTCTAGCACAGTTAATATTTACTTGAATTATTGTGCATTCAAGCAAGAATTTCAGTTCTGATTCCCTTGTGTTCAACATTTTTAAAAATACCTAAATATTTGTCTAATTTCTTTTGTGTATTCTCTTGTGAAGCTGAAATTGACCGTGATAAATGCCAACTTTCATCAATGATTAAAAGCTGTTGTGTTATCGGACAAAGTTATAGTGCTCTCTGAAGCACAGTATACACGTAGGAATCTAACTTGTTGAATGGGGTAGATCAAAGTTAAAATGTTAAGTAATCCTTTGTATAGTTTCTTGACCATGAAAATGGTGAGTGTCAAAAAAAGAAAAGTCATAAGAACACAGTTCAAGAAATCCATCTTTTCACCTTCAGTGCTATACTCTCACATTGATGCTTTATATATAGACTACGTCTGTTTGTCTATGTGTACCAAATATAAAATGCTGCCTTTTCCCAGCATTGTACAGTGTGCCATGTATTAACTACTGCTGGCCATCTCAGAGGTGGTTATATTTATTTTTTTCTTTTATGGACTTTTAATTGTGTCTTGCCAACAAGCTATGGAAACACGTACAATGAAGATAAGATCCTTGCACCAAACATCTTGTAATCTAAATAGACAACAAACAAATGAAGCATGAGGGATGGGATATAACAATAAGCAAGATAACTGAGTTGTGTAGTTGAGTGCCCGTTTTGTTAGCTCCTTGATTTTTGTTTGTATTTTTGGTTCAGATTTTAGTCATCAAAACTGAAAATGCTACTCTACCAAAAGGGTTAGGGTTTTTCGGTGTTTTTGGCAGCCAGGCATCCCACCATTTTCTCATTTGCATCTCTCGTCCCCTTTGGCCTGAGATGCCATAGAGAGATTGTTCTATGATCGGATCTCTTCCATGCCTCATTTCTCAGTATTTTCCACTTTGGAATTTTTTTTCTCTTAACACTGCAACCCATATTTCTTAATGCTGTCTTGTCTCCTCACCCTTTCAATTGCATTTTTCAAACAATTAGCACGTTTTTCTCTTTCATAAGTCCCAATTGAACTCCACTTGAAGTCAGTGAGAATCTTTTCATGGACTTCCATGGGAGGTGGATCAGGCCAATAGTTAGCAGAATCTTTGCATTTGTTCTAGGACTTGGGAGAATTGTCTTCGAATGACATCACAAGTTATGTATCAAAGTGGATATGCTGTTTGATATGAATAAATCTCCTTAAGGCTCTTTCCTAGTAAATGTTCTTGGTCTAATTACCCAACAGAACACCTTCAGCATAGTGAGAATAATAATAACATGTTGCTCTTAGATGGCATTTTTCAAACAAAGTGTTTGTTTGTGAAGTTTGTAAAGTGCTAACTAAAACTTGCAACATCTTGAGGTGGGTAAATATTTTTATCACTATTTTACAGATTGTAAAACTGAG